CCGAGCAGGTTGTGCACCGCCATACCAGACCAGTGAACGTCCCGCAAGAGGTAAGCGATCCGGACAATTATGTCGGAGCCTCCCATCACCCCGCCTCACCGCCTCTTTCAGAACACAAGCCATGATCAACAGTGCTAATCGTGCGCATCAGACAGGATTGATACCCGGTATGCTAGTGCTTATGAGGAGGCAGGAAGATCAATGTATAAAACTGCATAGTGTATAAGCAACATTTGTATTAGATTGCATCACGAGTCATAAAGACATAATACGCAAGACCGACGTAACTTGGCATCCTCTACAGCAGACTTGGAGGGGAGTATGGATTCGTTCTTATACGCTTGAGTCGTACTCGGTATGCATCGGATGACTGGCAGCTAGTGCCAGATCGCATTGGATAGAATCTAATAGCCTATGCTTCCCCTTGAGTCCATGATACCTATTCCCCTCCGCGCAGTGTAGTCTACATCTGGCACCGTAGTACGAACTGTGGTTTACATCCGGCACCGTGGTCCCCAGCAGAGTCATGTCTCAACTCTCAAGATACATGCCTTCAGGCATTGCGCCAGATGGAGATGAGAAAGACCTTTTTCAGCGTAAGCTTTGATCGTTATTTCATTACTTTTCATTCCCTTCCCTTCCCGTAGTCTGGGCGAGGTGTCTATCTGTTTTTTCCTCTTTTTCTTTTTTTTCATCTTATAGGCAGCGTGGTAGTCCGCAGCAGCTTCTTGACCTCCTGGACGAGGTCATCTCTCGAAACGAGCAAGCCCTGGTCCTTCTCGTCATCCTTCTTGTCGTCGGCGGCGTTCTTGCCGGTGCCGAGGACCTTGATGCGGACCTTGCCGTCGCCAAGCTCGTCCTGGCCGAGGATGACGGCGAGGGGCACGCCGTCGGCGGCCTTGAACTGCTGCGGCAGGCGGGGCTTGACCTTAGCGCTGAACTCGGCGCGTATGCCTCCCTCCCACAGCTGCCGCGCGACCGACATGCGCTGCAGCAGCAGCCCGTCGAACTCCTTGCCGCCGAACGCCATGACGTACACGTCCACCTCGCGCGACCGGCCCGCCTTGTCGCCCTGCCGCGCCTTCAGGATCGTGAAGATGCGGTCGACTCCGAACGAGATACCCACGCACGGTATCTGCTTCTTGCCGTACATGCCTACCAGGTTGTCATAGCGCCCGCCCGCCGCAATGCTGCCGACCCCCGCGCTCGTCTCCTCCTTGCTCTTGGTGGGCTTCCCTGGATACCGCGACTCCTCCTTGTTGCCCTGCGGCTTTTGGATGACCTCGTATATTACGCCAGTGTAGTAGTCTAAGCCTCGCGCGAGCGACAGATCGAACGAAATCTTGTCGAAAGTTTTGAATTCTTTCGAATAGGCAGACAGAAGATCCAAGTCAACCAGACCCGCCTTGATCTCCTCGTTGGCTGAAAGGTTCTCATCGGATCGGATGAACTGTATCATCTCGTCAAGGGTGCCTTTGTTTAGCACGTATTGACCGATCTTGTCAGCGACCGCTTCGGGAAGTCCCTTCTGCTCCACCATCTCCTTCTTGACAACATCCCATGGCTCCTTGTCTAGCTTGTCTACAGCTGAGCTGGTAGGGCGTATCTTATCTGCAGGCACACCTGCAACGGCAAACAAGCCGTCGAGGATTTTTCTGTGATTGAGCTTGATGACAATTTCCTGGTCGAGAGTCTCGAAGGTCTCGGTGATAACGCGAAGGATCTCGGCGTCGGGGATCATGGGGTCGTACTGGCCGGCGATGTCGAAGTCGCATTGGTAGAACTCGCGCATGCGACCACGAGCAATGGCGGGCTGGTCGCGGCGGTAGACCTTGGCGATCTGGTACCGTTTAATCTGCTGGACATTGTTCATGGCGAGCCAGCGGGCGAAGGGGACAGTTAGATCGTAGCGTAGGGCGCAGAGCTCGCCGCCTTGGTCCTCGAGGTTGTAGATCAGCTTCGCGTCCTCGCCGTACTTGCCCGACAGGATTTCCCTCAGCTCGAAGACGGGGGTATCGAGGGGGGTGCCGCCGTGGAGCTTGAAGATGTTGCTAATGGTGTCGCTGTTGCCAGATCAGCAAAATGCAGGCATATACAATCCTACGAGAGAAACACACAAGACATGATCTCGCAGCAGCAGATCGGAGCCCGACCAGTCACGCGTGCCCTTGGCCGCCTTCAGGGAAATCTTGGCCTCCTTGGAAGCCATATCTTCAATTTTGCCAGTACGTGAGTGTTTGTAATTAGACAGTCGACAGATCGGATTAGAGGAGAAAAATAGAGACTTGGACTTGGACTTGTAGGAAAGGAATCGTGGTCGAAAGGAAGATGAAAATAATAGCCTATTCCTTCTGCAAAGCGCACGCAGCATTGCCCCGCGAAAAAAAAAACAGCTGCGACTTCTGAAAAAAAAAAATAAATAAATAAAAATAAAAATGAATGGAGGGGGGATGACTCAATCGGAGCTTACATCTTATCTTGCAACGTGGGGTTAACAGGTAGGCTATTTCTCTAGTCATATTATGCCTATTGACAGAATATGCATATATTGGAGATAGCCTGTTGCCGCGATAAGGAGCTCCTATTGTTATCACTATCGATAATTCCAGCCTCATGAAAGTACCCAGACAAGCTCCATTAATTTCACAGAAATGGTGGAAATAGTGGTACGATATCGCGACCCAGGGGTCAATTTCGTTCTGCAATTGAACGATTCTATCCTCTGGGACTTAGTGGAAAAGTGTGAAATCAGCTTGTGTGCTATTTACGCAATGATCCCGGCCATATAGGAGACTCGTACCATCGAAAGCGCTCCTCATCTAAAACCAGGAGAAGGTGTCGTTGGGGGGGAACGTTAGAACGAAGCTACAAATATACGAAGATGGCGGTCGAAGACCTGGTGGCATGGCTCGGCGAGTTCAGTGACTTGGTTCGAGATTTCCCGTACGTTTACACAATTCTCACTATTATCATGCTCGATTCCAGCACATGTATCTCATAACTCCGTTATGTAGGGCCAATGACTTCGTCTTCCTCCTAGCTCCCTTCATCTGCGCCGTTGTGGGCGGCCTGATACTCTACCACACCCACACGGACTACTGGGAGAAGCCGAAGCGATACACCGTTCCCGTGCCCAAGCAGCCGGAGGAATGCAAGGTCCTCGAGCACCCGAGCATCAAGCTGCCTAACTCCACAGCCATCCAATGCTACGCGCCCGCCACCGGCCAGCTCCTCGGGCTCGTCAACCCCTCGACGCCCGCGGGCATCGACCGCGCCATCGTTCAAGCGCAAGCCGCGCAGGAGAAGTGGGCCGAGACGAGCTTCGGCGAGCGGCGTAAGGTGCTGCGGACGATGCTGCAGCACATCCTCGACAACCAGGAGCAGATCTGCAAGGTCAGCTCGCTGGACTCGGGCAAGACCATGATCGACGCGCAGCTGGGCGAGATCCTGGTGACGGTCGAGAAGCTGCAGTGGACGATCCGGCACGGCGAGGCGGCGCTGTGCCCGAGCCGGCGCCCGACCAACCTGCTCATGAGCTACAAGCGCAACACGGTGCGGTACGAGCCGCTCGGCGTCGTCGCCGCCCTCGTCAGCTGGAACTACCCGTTCCACAACCTGCTCGGCCCCGTCATCAGCTCCCTCTTCGCCGGCAACGGCGTCGTCGTCAAGGTCAGCGAGCAGACGTGCTGGAGCGCGGCCTACTACACTTCCATCGCCCGCGGCGCCCTCGTCGCCCACGGCCACAGCCCCGCCCTCGTCCAGAGCGTCGTCTGCTGGCCCCAGACCGCTGGCCACCTGACGAGCCACCCCGGCATCAGCCATCTGACTTTCATCGGCAGCCGGCCCGTGTGCCACCACGTGGCCGCCAGCGCCGCCAAGAGCCTGACGCCCGTCGTCGCCGAGCTGGGCGGCAAGGACGCGGCCATCATCTGCGACTCGGCGGCGCCCGACCTCGCGCGCATCGTCGAGACCCTCCTGCGCGGTACCTTCCAGGCCTCGGGCCAGAACTGCATCGGCATCGAGCGCATCATCGCCGCCCCGGGCGTCTACGACCGGCTCGTCGCCGCCCTCGAGCCGCGCGTGCGCGCCATGCGCCTCGGCCTCGACCGCGACGTCGGCGCCATGGTCTCGGACGCCTCGTTCGCGCGCCTCGAGGCCCTCGTCGACGACGCCGTCGCCCGCGGCGCCCGCCTGCTGGCCGGCGGCCGCCGCCACGCGCACCCGGACCACCCCGCCGGCTTCTACTTCACTCCTACCTTTCTCGCCGACGTGACTCCCGACATGGCCGTCGCCAACGAGGAGTGCTTCGGCCCCATCATGACACTACTCCGCGCGCCGTCGTCATCCGCCGCCGACCTGCTCGCGCTGGCCAACGCGCCGGCCTTCGGCCTCGGCGCGTCCGTGTACGGGCGCGAGTCGGACGCGGTCGTGCGCGCGGTCGTGCGCGGCGTGCGCGCCGGCGGCGTCGCCGTCAACGACTTCGCCGTCTTCTACGCCGTGCAGCTGCCGTTCGGCGGCGTCGGCGGGTCCGGGTACGGCCGCTTCGCCGGCGAGGAGGGCCTCCGCGGCCTCTGCAACCTCAAGAGCGTCTGCGAGGACCGCTTCCCCGCCCTCGGCCTCCGCACCGCCATCCCGCCCCCTGCGCGCTACCCCGTCGCCGATCAGCAACGCGGCTGGCGCTTCGTTCGCGGCGTCGTCGGCCTCGGGTACGCGCTTACCGTCGCGGATCGGCTGCGCGCGCTGCGGGATATACTGGGGAATATGAAGGTGGCTCGACGGGATTAGGTTTGCCTGAGGTATCGAATGTAATGAGAGGGGGGAAGAGGTGAAGATGAGATTGTAGATCATCCTTAATGAACATAGTCACAATAAGTTGATGGTTGATACCCCGATTATATAATGTATAATATAGTAAGAGGGGAGGGGGTTGAGTGGGTAAGGGGTTAGAGAAGTAGAGGAGGATAAGGTAAAAAAATTACCGACGTAGAAAAGGAAGACTATTCTGGTATGAGGAATCGAACCCCAAGCTCCTCGGTGAGGACGAGGTATGTTTGCCATGATACTATACCAGGCTTGTTGCTGTGGCTTCTGGTCCGGACATATCATACCAGCTTGATAGGCATACCTATACCGATTGCATGCCTAGGTGCCCATGAGATGTCACTCATTCATATACCGAGTCACTAAGGCATGTATAATCACCTATTGGTACATCATACTCATGCATCAAGTCATCGACGTCTTTAGCATTGGTGAAGCTCCCTTTGCTATTCCATAGTATCATGATTCACGTTGGATGCAACAGGAGTCAGGGTCTTGACGAACACGTCTTTATTAGGTCAGTCCTTTCTACAGTTTACGGTGCCATCCTTTGCTATCGCGCGCCCCTTTTTACTCTGGGAATCATCGTGGCCATGTCCACCTTGCCTCTTTTTATTCCATTCCATGCCGAAGTCCTGTGTGCCCTATACCCGCCCCCCCCCTCCAACGCCTAGCAGTCAGAGAACAGAATTGTCCGTAGTTATGGTCTACACACATGTAGACACCAATAGGAGAGGGCAATATCCCACACTCCCTTACATGAGTTGTACATATCCGCGTAACACACATTATGGTTACAAGCGAACAGGCAGTAGAACATGCATAACGACCGAAGATCATCAATCGAGAAGACACCGTCCACCAACGAAAGACTGGGTACCTACCTAGGTAGGTAATTAAGCAGCGGAGGCGACAGCCCTCTGGATGCGGACAAGGTTGGAGAAGTCAAGAGCCTCGGCGTTGCCGGCGGGGGGCATGTGCTCGCCCGAAGCAATACACAAGACGCGCATGCGCTCGTCGTAGCGCAGGCCGGTGAGCAGTTTGGGGGTGATGAGGAAGTACTGGCTCGTGTGCTCGCGGCAGGCGATCTCGACCATGCGCTCGTGCACCATGCGCTCGTTGCGCGGGTCCATGCCCTGGTTGATCTCGTCGACGACGCGGAAGGGCGCCTGCGCCATCGACTGCAGTGCCATCAGGTAGAAGATGGTCGACACGGCCCGCTCCCCGCCCGACTGCCGGTGTTGGTTGAGCTGTTGCAGGTTCTCGTTCTCCCGGAACTTGACCTTGATCACGATGCACCACCGGTCGAAGTCGTCCTCCTTGTGGATGCTGACCTCGCCCGCGCAGTTGATCTGCTCAAAGTTGTGGCTGAAGGCGTCGTTGATCTTGCCGATCACCTCGTCTACCCGAGGTTCCCACTGCTCCTTTATCTTAGCCATCTTCGCACTACGCGACTCGAGCTCGGTATTTATCTGCTCCTTCTTTTGCGTGAGCTCCTGAATTTCCTGTGCTCGCTTCTGGTACTGTCGCAGGATCGCCGGGTCCACTGCGTGGATGAGCCCTAGCTTTGTTGACTCGGCGCCGATCTCGTCGTTGATGTCTTCCGGGGTTCTATCGCCCGCCAGTGAGGTCAGGGAGCTAATGTCCTCCCCATCCTGGGCCAGCACTTGAACCTTAGCCTTGGCTTCGTTTCCCGCGGACCTGAGCCTGTCGACCTCCTCTTTCAAAGAGTCGATTTCGCTTCTCTTTTCGTTAAGCTGCCGACTGATACTAGCATTCTGCTGCTCTAACCCCTTGACGTCCGACGTCGCTTCGATGAGGCGGATTTGAACTTCGAGCAATGCTTCATGGGCATCGCGGATGCGAGAGAGCTGCTCTTTATGCTCGAAGATAGACCTCGCTTTCTTGATGATGAGCTCGTCCATTTGCCCATGAAATTCCTGCAGTCTCGCTCTATAATCCGCAAGCCCTTTCTGCGCGCTTTCTAAAGCTGTCCTCTCGGTGGCTACGCCTTGTCAGCCTGATACCCAACCCTTCATCTAGCTCTATTCAAGACTTACCAATCTTGCCTTCTAGTGATGCGTATGCCCCAGCAGCTCTCTGCAAATCGGCCTTCTCCCTCTTTAATCTGTCCTTCAGGGTGACGGTTAGGATCGAACACAATATAGCAGGCACCGGTACTTACTATTTCCTCGTTGATAGGGATATCATTCTCATCTAATTCCCTCGAGCGTTCGTTCAACTTTTTCCCATCCATTTTAATTTGAACGACATCCGCATTTGCCTCTTCAATCCGTGCTCGCAACGCAGCTTTTTCCGACTGGTCAACCGGCTGATTTGTCCAGAAGCGGCCAGGCGCAATCGTCCTTGTACTGGTCGAGGTAGCGTCGCCGCCGTATTCTGCACGTCTTTGAATGCGATAGAGTGTACGGCCACTAGCCCAGCTGATTATTCCCCGGCAGCCTGCTATCTGCTCGTACTGATCGTTGTTGATATCCTCGCGGGCGACCCCGGAGATATGCAATCTCTTCTCCGCACAAAGCATCGCGAGGACAGGCTTGGGACCATCCAGGTACTCGATAGCATATGCGTCGAGACCCATTTGGCGAATTCGCTCCTTAGGAATGGAGGGTTGAAAGGAGGTAAAATCGGACCCGCAGGTTCTGATGGAGACTGTGAGTCCCAACTGGTCGTAAAAGTGCGCGCTGAGCTTCTTGTGGTCGCTCCTGGTCTGGCAGGTAAAGCAGAAAAAGTCTTCGGGCGCGAGGAGGGCTTGGATCTGGTCCGAATACTTTTGATCCGTGACAGAGCAGTTGAGCATTGCTGGACCAAATACTTCTTTCTCAAACTCGTGCTGATGTTCTTGGAGCCATTCCCAGCCTTTCGCGGCATCCGCGTGAGAGTTTCTCAGCTGAGAAAGTTTCTGGCCTTCCTGAGAATCCAACATGTTCAGTTCCTTTTCGAGCCTTTCCTTCTCCTGATTCTTGGTTGAATGGACATCCTTTAAGTCTTGAAATTTGTTGCGCAGCTCGCGCCTCTCTGCCTCGTTTTCGCGCAGGATGGCCTCTTGCTGACGCTAAAATTACCAGTATTAGCGATATAAGACGATAGGAATCAGAGCTGATGATAAGGCTTACGATCTTGGTGTTGTAGTCGGCAGCAACAAACTCTGGGGGTTTCTGTTGCAGTCTGGCCTCGTAGTCGGCGATCAACCTGCGGCTCCTGAGGATATCATTGCGTTTATTATCCAAGGATTTGTTTTCTGCTTCTATCTTATTCTCAACGTCCTTGATCATCTCATTTTGCGACTCGATAGCCTCCACAAGCCCACTGCTTGCCGTCTCAGCCCTCTCTAGCGCCTTCTTACGCTCCGCGACGACGGCATCGATCTTATATTGATACTCCTGTTTTCGATTAACCGCTTGCAGGGCTGGTCCGCAAGCTTCCTCGAGTTCCTTCAGCTTGTTGGTGGCCTCTCGGCTCCTCAGTTTTGCGTCGTGGAATCCAACTCGGACAAGACGATATTCGGCTACTATACGGGCCGACTTGAGTTTTTGTATATTGTTCTGGATTGCTTCTCTGTCGCGGAGTCTGTCCACATCGGCTTGGGATCCCTGTTGGCGCGTCTCGTGGTTCTTCAGAATCTCAGCATAGCTGTCCAACTTGGCCTTGTACTTTTTTTGCCCCTCGTGCAGGTCCTTTAGTTGATCATGCCAGGTGATCATTTGCTGAGGGGCGGCCGCTCGTAGGGTCTCGTGGAGTAGCTGTACAGGCGTAAGACCGGCGAATTCAGCGACCCTGTCCTGGGGAAGAAACTGGCATAGGTTGTCGATTTGGATGCGCAAATCGTTGACGAGACGTTTGACGAGCTGGGACGAGCTCTCCTTCCCATTGATCCACCACTTGGATTTGTTGTCTTCTCTACGGATCTGCATGCGAATTACGTGGTTGTCGGCATCGTCTGGTCGACCTTGCAGTTCTATCTCGATGATGGCATTCTCTTTGCCGTGCTTTACGAATTCGCCAACCTGTGCGGCTCGGCCGAGATGCTTAGGGGGGTAGCCCAAGCCCAGACAGATGGCGCAGACGAGGGAACTCTTGCCAGTGCCGTTTGGACCAATGACCATATTGAGATTCGGGCCAGGGTGGAATTCGGCATGTTCGTACGTGACAAAGTCCTGGACTAAGACGCGTACAATAGCACCAGGCTGGAATCCGCCGGCACCATTTCCACGACCAGCTCGGGAGGGAGAAGTCTTGATTTGTCGGTCGTCGTCGCTGTCGTCGTGTTCCGATAGCATGCCATCGGCAGTGCGCTTTTGTCGCTTGGGCGAGTCTGACTCGGAAGACTGTTCGTCGTTCTCTTCCTCGAAGCGCGCCCTCGAACGACGACGAGGCTCGAGAGACGGCATGGCCGCGGAGACAGAAGGTCAAACGAAGTATTTAACCAGCTGGACGAGACAAGAAGATGATCTGGTAACGGAATGTGGATCTGGTAGAATAGAAGACTCTCAGCCCTCGGCAATCCGTAGCTAGTTCAGCTAAATTGATTTTGGTGCGAGACGCGATCTGCCCTGTCAGCTTGCTCGTGAAGAGACGCGTTTGCACTGGTGGGCTGGTGGGGTTTGGCTGTTGGGGAACGGGGAGACAGGAGGAGACAGGCCTAACAGACCGACAAATAGGGGACTTAGCTTGCAGTCCTAGGCGGCTTGGTTTGCTTAGCAGCCTGGCCTGCCTGGCAGCCTGGCAGCTTAGGTGGAGGAACACTTACGTAATGCAGCCTTAAATGCAGTTGCTTGCCGAATTGGGTGTCTTAGGTTACGTAAGGTTGCAAGGAGTTGGACACCTCACATTCGACTTTGTGAGGCTCCATCTTGGACTTCATCTGTCTCTCCAGTCTCCAGTCCTGCCTTACTCCTCGATGGAAGATACAGCATGCTGTGACGTCCATTTTATATGTCACGAGTATATTATCATAGACCTTTCTCAGGCTCCTAGACCATACTTCCAATATCAAATACCTGTCGTCTTGATGTCTTCTCTCACTTACATCCGCGCATGGCCTGCTTCGATTGCAACACTGATCGTTTTCGTCAAAGTGACAGTACGCAATGCTCTACGTTCTTGCCCATCTAGAACAGCTCGCTCGTTTCTTGATGGTCCGTGTCATTTGCTAGCACCAGAGACGCCGTTCATATACGTCGTAGGCACCTAAAGTATGCAGGAGGTAGGCATAAGAAAGGGATAAGTA